TTGGACAAACAGTAGGGAGCTACCGGAGTTTAATAATTAGACATCAACAGTAACCATGTTGAACATGCAGAGTTCTAGCTTCCTGGACTATACGATCTCCCCACCGGTGCTGAATCAACACCTGAGCATTGATGATAACGCACACTGCAAGCGGTGCGAATCGCACTCTTTCGGTGTTGGACCATGTGAGCGGCGAGGAGTTACTTATCTGACATTGCTTCTGGCTTACGTCAGAGCTAAGTTCTCCCACCAGTTCTGTTCTGGGTTCTTTTCAACACGCGTTATTACAGTCGATCGCGGTCCGTGCATTACAAGTATTGGCTACGCTGATGAAACTGTTGTGCTGGCGGTCTCCTGTGCAGAAACGCAGCCCGCTGTATACCACATCGGCGTGGAAACAGTCAGAGCGGGTCAGGTCGCCTCATACTTTGCCTTCAGCCGTCTGCTTAGACAGTGGAGCTTCTGACTGGTGGCACCTTCTGCCATCTGGGGTCTAGGCTTTTACAAATCCCACAAGGTAATGACTAGGTCGATCATCGGCACGCATCTCCCATCGGAACCTCCGGATGTGAAAAGTAGAACGTGACATTAATAGGAGGTGTTTGCTTGGCGATATTAGCCTCGCATCATTCGAAGCTGTCTCCCGTCACGTCCTTAACGAGTGCTTATGTAGTCGGTTCGGGAACAAACTCGCAAACTGCACCCTCCATTCTTGCTGACTTTAACGGCTCAGTCGTGTGCTGCTCAAATGAAATCGTCCGTTTCACCTCATTCCACTTAACGGAGCCGGACTGCGGCCAATTGAAGAAGCGAGTGGCGCTGGTCTGTCAGTTGTTTCGCCCTAGCTACAGAGTCCATAGCGGGCTACCTTTTGTGACTTGCTGAACCGGCAGCGTAGAGCCGGTTGAATCAGTTAAGACGAATACCGCTACAAGTACAAGTCGCCCGACCTTTTCATGCCTGTAAGGTCGACTGATCAGATATCGGGCCGGATGGGAAATGACATTCCTGTGACTCTGAGAGAAGGGCTATGGGGAGCGATGATTGCTGAGGCCAGCTGTCCGCGCCGTCCTTCGTTAGGTCATATCGTCCTCCCCTTTTGCGTATACCGCAGTGGATGTTACAACTGATAACTAGGGCCGTTTTCTTCAGTATAGACGTTTATGATTAATGTCTGCCCTTTGGTCGTGATTGGTTCCCTGTATTCAGGTCTCCGCTACGATTTTACCGACGTAATCAAAGTGCGTTATTATAACTACACCTCAGTTAATAATTGGCTAACACTTGTCTGCCACATTTAATCTATGCCAACAAGAGCCGATTCCCTGGTCTGGAGTCCGGCGGATAGACAGGCGAGTAGGCAGTCTTTGTTGTCAGAGTATGTGGGCGGCTGACAGCAATCAGAGCAGGGAGAAAGCTGCCGACGGAAAGTGCCGTTAAAAACAAGTAGTCTGTGTAGCACTGGCTGCGGAGGCATCGATACGAATCCGCGAACTGCCGGTCCACCCGCTGTCTGACGTCCACAGAACACGTGGCGTGCGAGCACACGCTTGAGTGGAGATAAGGCCATCACGACCTTCCAATGACTGAACCCCACCCCTTCTGGCCAGCCGCTATCCCATGGGCCAGCCTCACTCCTCTCCCTACATGCATTCATGAGAGATGACTTTCTCCATTACTTGTGAACCACCCTGATGATGGTAGCTTTGCTATGACGGCGGTGGCCGTTAATATTTTTACCGAAAAACTATGCTTTTGTTCCTCACCCGCCCTGTTTCTCCCGATTCAAGAATCCGCGCTCACTGCTGCGGTTGCACGCAGTTTTTCCTGCATGTCTGGCAGCACCCGACAACTGCAGGCCGGACACAGCCAGGTTACTGCCAGTACGCTGCCCCCGCGTATGCCGCCATCGTCACTTCCCTTGCGCGGGTTCCTTCAGAGCATTGGTCTTGCTGTGGACACGTCTCCAACGCCACCTGATACTGCTAATTCTACAGCTGCTATAGACCCATCGCCAGCCCACACAGTCTCCTCATCAGTATCTGCTTCCCTTGAGTCAACCACCAGTGTTTCCGGCGAAGGCACTCATCGGGAAACGACCCCCGCCACCGCAGCCGTCACCCCCTGTTCCTGGCCATCGAGATCGTCTGTTGTCGCGCCGAGGTCGGTGGGGTCTGTCGAGAGCCTGCACGATGCTCTTCGCCACCTGGACGCTGTTCTCCTGCATACTGACCTCAAGAGCACTGGTTGCTCTGGCAACGATGTTACTGTGCCCAATGTACGTTGGTTCTCTTTTGAGAAGGATATGTGATTAGCATCAGCTGTGCGTCGGAGGACGCAAGGCGGCGCCGGACTAGGGATACGCCCTATCTGTCTGTCGTTTGCTTACATGTTAGGGGCATTAGGGCGAGTTACCATACACAGACACGGAGTGTGTTGCTTCCGCGCACGCCAACGTTTTTGGTCAGAAGCAGCCCGGCATCGGGCTAACAGGCAATTTCTCATGCTGTTCCGACAACCGGCCACGCGGGGGGTGCGCTGGGCCAGTACAGGAACCAGATTGAGGCGCGGCACGCGTTATTCGAGCTACGCACCCGAAACAAATGTCACACATGAGGTACGGTGGCACGCCTAGGCGCGGGCACGCCCGCGCCAGCCACTTGTGCCCGATCTCTTCATCAGATGGCTGACCGAATCTGACAGTGGACTGTTGCCTGGGAGTGAGTGAGGTCGACTCTGGGTACCGCGTCCCCACGACACTCAACGCATATACCTCACCACAAACAATCCGACGCGCTCTTAAACTATCACGGTGCGCAAAAGATGTGACTTGGAAGGCTGCTAATTGGCGTGATAACTGTCTTCTCAGGACGAAGAGTCAGACCGCAATGACTCCATGTCAATGCGATCCCTGTAGCGCTCCCGCTCAGATTGGTTCCAAACCGCCTCCCCTTATCTGGAGAGACCTGCGTAGCTTGGCTGTCAAACATTGTTAACCACTGCGCTGGATCCCGCCTCCGGTCGTCCTGACTCCGTTTTGACACCGGGCTCAGGTGGATGAGGGACGGGAGCGCGGTGAGTGCATCGAAAGTCTGCTATCACTATTAACTAATTCACGCGCAAGTCGCCGTCTCTGCGCCCACCCTTTTGTGAGGCACACGGTGGACACCATCGTTCGAGATGTCTCGTGGTGTTAGTGCTCGCTTCCGGTTTGATGGACAGCTATGCAGTAGTGGAACGCAACGGACGCTCGTGCTTTCGAAAATAATGTCCGTCAATTGGTCTTTTCTTATTATCAGGATTTGTTGGAGTTCCTTTTTACGGCGGCCCACCTTTAAAACACCGGCCAGATACCGGAGATCGAGTTCGTGGCACATCCTCCATGTTGTTCCATGGGACCCCACGCGGCTGCTCGCACTGTCCACAATTCACTATCAATTTTCACCGTTACTGAGAACGTCACAGTAGCGTTTATTTTAAAAATTCTTGATGCTGCAAGTTCCTAGTCCATGTATGCATCTTTCCCACAGGGCTGCAACAAGTCGCCGACCGACTCGCCCTTGGCAGCCACTCCCCAAGCTGCAACAAGCCTCACCAAACGAAACAGACGACGGCACCGGTCAGCCCGCCGAAACCGCAACCGGAATCGAAAAAACTAACGTTCATTGTTCTCGTGGTGCCGGTCACTGTCTTTCCCTCCGCCTTCCCATTCCTTTGAGGTGAGATAACGTCACCTACGGACAAACAGGAAAGTGTGGAATACTATAGTTCCTTCAGTACCCCAGCTATCTGTTTCTTTTTCTAATGAGATCCGGAACAACTTCCGCCTCTTACACTTTTCTCCCGTCTTTTCGTCCAGTCGACCATTGTCTATACGATTTTCTAAATCTTTCTACAATAACGCTTCAAAAACCACCATCTTTGCACGGTCTGCAGTCTGTGTGGTTATCTTTCATTTTCTCTAATTCCTTTTTGTTCGGAAAACGGCCTTTAACAATCAAGATACCGATGATCACATGTTCACAGTTTCGCCTGCTCTCCACGTCGTTGTGTCGGTCCCAAGCGACTGTAATCAGGTCCATGCGGGCGGACCGTATGTTCAGTATAAGGTGGGTGTATTACGCCTGTGGAATATGGCTTCTTTTCACGGGTTTCGGAGCAAGTCGGAGACTCGCAGGCTTTTTATTTGAAATCCTGCGCCCGCCCCCCTGGTCCGTCGCCTTGACACCGCGTGCCCGGTGGTTATCTGTCTACGTTAAGGGGAACAGATCAGCCCTGTCGGTGACTATCAGGACCATGCTTGGCCCAATGAAAACGGTGTTACTGGACTGTGAAGTTGGATTGGCTAGCCGTTCAAACAGAGAACCAACGTGGTGTCGCCCGGTTGGACAAGAGACGCTGACTTTAAGCAGCGCCCAATAATTAGGGCCTTACGATGCCAGTGGAATCATCGTTTACACCGAAAAAATAGGCTCGTCCGCTGGTTTGAGAAACACCGACCATTCGCACACAGCTTGCAGGCTCATATTCCGTAGTTCGGTTGATTCAGGGCCCACAGATAGCTTGGAGGGGAGAGGAAAACAGTTCGACTCCGGTTGCAGTCGCATCCTCCGATTGTATAAGTCCCTTACAAAACATGATCTGACTACGCCGAGTGCGTCGACAGAGGGCAGCACTTCGCACATCCGCCGCACTGTGGTCCAAACAAAGCGGCGCTAGCCGTGGGTTGAAAAGGGGGTCAGTATGCGGGGTGCGACGCGTCGATACTTTTCGAAAATGCCGGAAACGGCACCGGGGGTTCGGAGTCTCGGTGTAAGAAAATGGTTGGGAGAGGGTCCACCGTGTTGTCTGCGGTCAAGTAGGAGCCGGACATGTACAAACAGATACTAGATGGCGCAACCGCCTGGACAATCGTGCTTTATTGACTAGACGGGGGTATGAGCAGTTGGGAGATGGGTACCCTAGGGAGGCATATATATACACGGGGATGGAGAAAAAAGTCAGGGTTGCACTGCGGTGACTCCTCCACGCCGATGGCGCCAGGTAATGCGTAGAGGCATGAGGCCGTCAGAAAGGAAAAGGGAGGCATGCCGGGGGTCGAATTTGGCCTGATGCGAGAGTGCGTGGAGGAGACGGTCCACAGGAACAAGAGGGAGAAACAACAGCGAGACTACATTGGCAGGGATGGCGGAGTGCCCCACCTTGTGTTCTTTGCTGAGAAGCCCGTTGGCACACCTGGAGGCCTTTGTTGCATGCACGTGTGCTAGAGAGGCTAGCTCGTAGCATACGTCACGTAGGGTCTGCTCTGGCCGGGTCGCTTCTGGAATCATCTCGCCTCGACCGGAACACAAGCGCAGCAACGTCTCGGTCGCAACGTTATGCTAGGCGCACGCAAATTAGGGGGAGGGGGGTATTGGCAGGGCATGAGATAACAACTCGTAAACTGTGATAGCAAAAGAACATAAAAAGCAAAGGCCCGGTAAGACAGGACTAGTGACTGCGGACTGAAGACGCGTCAACCCTGCCTATTAGTTGTCGCTGCAAGCTAACTATCGTGTCTACCGACGACGGATAAGGGAGTTCTTGACATACCTGCAACTTTTGCGGTCTAGATGGCTGCGAGTCATTATGCCAGAAGTGGTGGTTAACCGTTATCAGGGCTCGCTGGTCTTTAAGAATGATCGCAGACAAGTTGCCCTATGGTGTGTTGGTAATCGTCAGCCTTACGAGTGGGTATGGCTGGAGGCCTTTCCAGTGTCATGGATGCTCTACGATGAATATCTGCAGCAAAAGGTCCAGAGCCTGAGCTACAGAGTCGAGGAGCGTGGCTCTTACTGGGTCATGTCGCCGTAGACACCAGAAAGCGATAAGCCTGTCTTGACGATGCCCCACACAAGTGCAGATCTCTCACAGGTCATTTCAGCTGGCAGAATCCATCCGGAGATGTATGCGCATCTATTTTCTTAAACATTTAAGTGTAAAAATGCAGGATGCGTTTGAAAAATTGCGAACGCGCGAAAAGATTCCTCCGCTAACAAGTCGACTGCATTTGCTGACAGCGAGCAAAGTTGCGGCCGTGTTTAGTTGTCCTCGCTGAGCGTCCGGAGAAAGGCCCAACGTGACGGGACACGCCTCCGACTGCTCGGCGTAAAGGCGCGACATTTGATTACCCTGAGCTACATTGCATGTATTCGGTAGCCGATAACATAACTGTGGATGTTTGTCTAATCGCGAATTCGAGAACAACGGTCGGGACGGTGGCGGTTGTAGCCGCAAATACAGCACATAGCTCAGTAAGGATGGCTAAAATTTGGAAGGTGTGGGTATTGGCAGCTACGGTAGTAACTGCTAGTTATACTACTAATGGCGCCAAGAAAAGAATGAGGTAATTCAGTAGTCACTGCGGTATAAGAGATTGAAGCGGCATCCCAGCCGGTTAAACCACCACCTCCCCTTCAGACATCATGAATTAACGAAAATCCACAAAGCACGATGAGTAATTACTCATTGATTGGGTCGGACCTTGGACTGGACTGGTTTTAAGTCAGGCTTGTTATCGAGTTCAAAGAAGGCAAGACAAAGGTTCGGAGTAGAAACGATACATGTGAAGGAAATCAGTCTCAAGCGGGGACAGATAAGGCGGGAAAATACTACCTTGACAAGCAGTTCCGTCGGTATACTCATGGCTGAGTGTTTTTGGGCTAGAGGGACCACGCTGCGGATGTGCGTCAAAATACCCTGCGCCTTGCCCAGGTGCGAGAGAGCGTGATCCAGTTCAACCGACTTAATACCTTAAAAGAACATAATTGCAATAAATTATGTCTGAATATTCCAGATTCCAAAACACGGTTGCGTATGATCGCTCTGGAGTTGGATAAACCCGGCTTGGGCACTAGTGACCCCTCACGCGTACGTGAGCATATTCGATGCCGATATCGACGCAGGCTTAAGAGATTGATTTGATGTTTAGCTCCGGTTCGTATAAAGACAACTAGACTGCATATAAACTCTGCATCGGTTTGGCCCGTAATGAGGTTAGAAACATGCCCATTCTCCAAGCTCCGTCAACGTGTTCAAGGATAGTTGGCATAACCATAGCCAACATTGAAAATTAAACAAATATTTAGGGCCACGTATCGTCATGAGAATCAGACATGATGAACTATAAGATATTGTAAATGAATCTTGTTCAAGATTTCTAGCGTCAGTAAGCGGGCATACGAAGTGATGTCAGCACTGTTTAGATGCTGAGGCATAGAGGCGAATATTCGGGAAGTGGACGGCGATTTACAGAAAATCGCCATTTAGTGGGATAAGAAACAAAATCTGCGAGAATTACAAGTCAACCAGCTGGACTTGAAAGTATGTTTCTTGTTAACTAAATATTACAATTCAACCGTCTCACACACGTATGGATGCACTAGGAAAAAACTACGAAGACACCCAAAAGTCAGGACAACAAGCAAAAGGGCGTAATCTTCGGCAATTAAGGAAAGAACAGACACACCGAAAGATTCTGCCAACATGTAGTGGATCGGAGCATTCGTCATCTCCGCATAACGCTCCAGTTCAAGACAGGTAGCAAAGGGAACTCCATCGACACGATTTGCCTGAAAAGGAAGGATAAAGGGCGGGGTTGCATGACGAAGGAGGGTCTTACTCTGGCCTCCACGAGCATTGAAAGCCATCGCTGGGAGAATCTGAACCGTTGCCTGGCCTGCTAGGAGACGGTGGTCATGAGGCGATGTGCCGAAAGTTTACTGACCCAGCATAGTTCACGCACCACGGGCGATCGACGAACGTCTGTCGAGGAGGGGTCCTTAGAGGCCGCGTCGATTGCATCCAACCAATAACGGAAACGAATTCTGGCAGTCTCACGGGTAGGAGCTCTATCAGGCACCTATATGTCACAATCAAAACAGGCTTTTTGCGGACAACTGTTGGAAAATTAAGGTGAAATATCAAGCCGTTGAGGTCATATCAGACGCGACACCATCTACTAATTGACGTGTGCAAAAACTACGCTGAACCGACTGTCAGGTCCAAGAATTGCACTTGCAGGTAAAAGCGGGTCAACTGCACCCGGTTAGAATCAGGCTGATACATTTTTCGAATAAAAACCAGAAAAAACTACTGAACAATAAGGTGACAAATTATAGAAAAGGCCAACGGAAGAAGTTTACCTGAGATATTTCGGCGTTAAATGCCCTGAGGAAACAAGCGAAACGTCTCTGGTCGGGTGGCAGGTGAATCGCGCAGAGGTAGTTGTAATAATCAGCTTTCCTACATATAACTAGGTGTTTTGGCTCGAGAAGGCTTACTTTGTCAGTTCCATGCAATAGGTTTCGTCACCGGAAAGGGTCGTCTTTGCTCTTACAACGACGAAAGCACGTCGGGCAACTCGGAGAGACATCGACCACATTAGCATGACACCTGAAAAGTAGAATTGCGCCTTTGTCATAAAGGATAATTCTGGGAAAAAAAACATCTCAAAAAGAGGTTACCAACGTTACATGTTTTGGTTTCTATTACTAGGGAGAGGGGAATTCTTTTACTTTGACGGGTTTCCACCAAAAAAGTAATCGTTGATGGCGTATCTGAACATCTCAACGAGAGGAGCGCGATCCGTGTACGTTTATTCGTCGTTAACGCGTTTAATACCTCAGATGGTCATTTTCGATCCCCTGATATGCTGCAGTTTCCTCAGAATATGCCTGTCGTAATTTGTAAATGAGTGAGAGCTAGAGCAGCATATGAAGAGCAGCTGAAGAGTTTTTGACTCGCATCCGACATCGTAGAGTGGAGGCAGACGAGGTGATGGTGTCCTTTGACGTGGTCTCACTGTTCACTTCTATCCCACCTGACCTGGCCATCGACACTCTCAACGGACTTCTCCGAGAAAAATATGACGAGACCGACCAGCAGCTTAAACGAGTGCACATCATCGAGCTCCTAGAACTGTCTCAAGACTTTCTTCAAATTTAACGGCCAAGTGTACGAGCAAAAAAGGGAACACCAATGGGTTCACCTCCGTCTGGACTAATTGCCGAAACGGTTTTGCAGAGGCTGGAGCGACTGGTATTCAGCTCGTATCCTCCGAAGTTCTGGGCCAGATATGTCGACGACGCATTCGTCATAATAAAAAGGGCGACGTGCAAGATTTCAAGGCACTTTTGAATTCGATATTCCTCGACATACAGTTCACTATGGAAGAAGAGGTCGAAAATTGATTGCCCTTCCTAGACGTACACGTCACAAAACTGTCAGACGGGAATATAAAGGCAACGGTCTACCGTAAGGGTACTAACACTAGGCGCATCCTCCACTTCAGAAGCAACCACCCCGTCGGTCACAAACGCAGTCGTGTCAGGACCCTTTTCGAACGCGCCCAAACACACTGCAGCGGCGACGATGACAGGAGGAAGGAGGTGAAGTACTTGCGTGCTCTATTTGAAGCCAACGGTTACCCGAAGTCGTTCATACGCAAGTGTCTCAGGAAGTCCCACTCTGGGCGGTCGAACGAGAACAAACCAAAGTCCTGACTCTCGATCCCCTATGTGAAGAATGTTTAAGAGGCGACTTCAAGAATTCTGAAACCCTTTGGAATCGGTGCGGCCCATAAACCAGCATCAACAATCAGACAGCAGATAATGAGGTCCAAAGACACGCTACCGGTGACAGAACAATCAGCGGTGGTTTACAGCATACCATGTCAAGATTGTGCTGCAAGGTATGTTGGTGAAACAGGGAAACGCCTCGGCACAAGATTACATGAGCATTAGCTTGCAATTAACCGCAAGGATAAGCTGTCGTTGGTGTATGGCCAAACACTAGAACGGAACCACAGTTGCGCCTTCGAGAAAGCGAGGGTGGTTGGTCGAGCCAATGACAAAATGGCCTGACTGATGCTGGAAAGTTGGTCCTCGACTGGCACCCTCAACCGGGCCATAGATCAACATCCCTCCTACCAGGCGCTTCGCGCGAGGCTCGAGTCAGTCCAGGCAAGGCCAATGGCACGGATGAAAGGAATCACACGGGGTCGACTGCCGACGCTGGCGGCGAGGGAAAGCGCTGGCCGAAAGTTACGTGACCGGTGTGGCACGCTATCTCACGGACGTACTCGTGAGGCCGGAAAGACCACGCCTGAAGTGCGATGATCGATCAGCCCGCCGTCTGACGAGGGGGTGGCCAACGAGCACGCCGACGCGGCGGCAACCACGTCAGGCGTGAGGGGGACACAAAGCACGCCAGTCCGTCAATGGCTGGGATCAGAGAGGCCACAATCAGCCCACAGAAAACAGGCTAATCAATGTGCGTGCGCTGGGCACGGTTATAATACGAGGCAAGCGGCAAGGCTGAACAAATCAAGGCCAGCAGGGAACGCCAGCGACCGACTCTGATGATGGAAACGAGTGTTTCCGAAACGTCAGTTTGAATACAATCTGGTCCATGAAATCGCTTTCTCTTCTTCGTCTTCTTCGGGGGATGATAAACACGACACACATACATATATGTGTACATACAGTAAAACCGGGAGTGGCCAAAAGACAGAAGCTCGCCTGATGAATAGTAAATTTAAGTGTGATGCTCAAAATAAGGTGTTGTTAATAGTTGTATAATCAAAATTTCAGTCGCTTGAGGACGTATAAAGAGCAGCTACAGTGTTCTGATAGGTAAATTAGACCAGCAGGATGGCAGCCCACAATACGAATATAAACGCCATTGTGCGGTTAAGCATGTAAAAAAACGGAAAGAAGAGGCTTGTCCATGTACACTTTTCCTGACCAAATGCCTAATACACTTTGGGGTCGGTCTTTAACTCGACCTCGTCTGTCACAAGAGTTGAGCACGTGACACCACGAACACCGCACTTACAGCCGACTATACTCCTTGACTTGGTTAATTTAAACGTCGGACTTGAGACCGAGAGAATGATGCTCAGGTAAATTTAGTAGGCGTGGGTCTCTCAAGTCACTAACTATAGGGCATTTTAATAAGTCGAGTGTAGAAAACTTTGCAACGACCGGCCACTATTGGGGTCTAGTGGCCGTGGTCTCACCCTATGGGTTGCCTGGAGCGGAACGTCTGGCTTCACAATGTTCTGCCTTGTCTGTGTATCGCTCAGGTCGGCTTTCAAAACATTCATTGTTTAATTTCACGCTCCAGGCGCACGATAAGGCAAGTTTTATAGCAAGTTTGCTGTGTGAATAGGAAAGGAGTTTGGAACGAGGTGCAAACGATGAATCGAATAATCCACGGAAAAGCTAACTTCACAATTATCCGGGGACGGTGGGGTTGGACACTGCAACCGGGGAAGGAGGATTGATTTCTTTGCGCACCTCGACTAGAAACAGAAGAAAGGAAACAGATAGTCTCTAGGCGCCAGGCATCTGCGCTCTCAATCGTGGCGCTCCAGCCTATTAAAAAAATCTGGGTCATGTCTGTCCGCCACAGCTTCTAAACTATGTTATACAAACAAAATTCCCGTCGTCAATTTTGGACTTGAAATCTACGACGGTTTAGTTAGGAGGCAAGCCTTACTGGTGCAGTAGGACGTACCCTTTAAATGGCGCTCGGTCCGTGACAAGTTAACCTGCTTTTACCTCACCCGCTTATGAAGTCGAAGAAAGGCCAACACTCGAAGCCGTCTTCTTCACCGAAACAATTGTTTGGAATGAGTTACTAAACCTAAAAGAATCGATCTCCGCAGGCCCTGATGAAATCCCGGCCAAGCTGCTGAAGGAGCTAGCTCCCGAAATGTCCAAGCCGTTAGCCTTGATCTTTCAAACGTCATTCGTTACTGGATGTCTGCCCTCTGACTGGAATTCCGCTACCATCACTCCGCTTTTGAAGTGTGGAAGTCGTGCGTCTGCAAATAACTACAGGCCAGTGAGTCTTACCTCCATCTGTTGCAAAATCATGGAGAAGATCATTAAGAAGGCCTTGGTGCAGTTCCTCGAGCAGCACCATCTCCTTTCTGATGCCCAACACGGCTTTCGAAGTGGTAGGTCCTGCCTCACGTATCTGCTTTTTATGCCTGAACGCTGGACCAAAGCACGTGATGAAGGCAATGTGGTGCACGCCATCTACATCGACTTCAAAAAGGCTTTCGACAGCGTTCCTCACCAACGTCTCTTGTACAAACTGCGCAACGCTGGAATTCGTGGACGCCTTCTTGTATGGATCCAGAGCTGTTTGGCTGGACGGTCCCCAAGAGTGCAGGTCGGGCGTCAACAGTCCTCAGATGTAAGCGTGGTGAGTGGCGTCCCACGGGGCTCAATCTTAGGTCCCACGTTATTTCTCGTTTTCATAAATGACTGCGTCAAGGACCTAGACTGTGATGCCATCCTGTTTGCCGACGACATAAAATTGTGGAAAGTTATTCACAATGCGGCAGATACAGACCACAGGCTCGAAGACTGGTCGAAGCGCTGGCTTATGCCCTTCAATATAAGCAAGTGTAACTTTCTTCAACTCGGCGGCTTCAAATCCTCCAGCACCAGGACCTACTTTCTACACGGCACACCACTGCAACAGGTTGACAGTCAGAAGGACCTGGGTGTATGAATTACATATTTACTCAAACCAACACTGAACTGCGCGAAGGCGGCTAAATCGGCTACGGCCACATTGCAACTCATTAGGCGAGCATTTATGGGATTTGACCCTGACTGCTTTTCCAAAATATTTGGCACCTTCGTGCGACCTCATCTAGAATACGCCATACAGGCGTGGAGACCCTGGACTGCAAGGGATTATACCGTCTTGGAGAAGGTCCAGAGACGGGCGACCAAAATGACACAAGGACTGGGAGCACTGCCCTATGAAACCAGACTGTCAACTCTCAACCTGTTTCCCCTTTCCTACAGGCAATTACGTGGTGACCTCATACTAACATTTCGCATTATCAACGGCCTGGACTGTTGTTTAGATCCCACTGATTATTTCACCCAAGCTAACACGCCCACTTTGCGCGGTCATCCCCTAAAACTCCGCGCAGGGAAATCAAGAATCAATGGACGGAAGTTCTTTTTCAGTAACAGCATGGTTGCAGCGTGGAATGCCCTGCCTACAGATGTTGTAACCTCCCCTTGTGTGAATTCCTTCAAGTGTAGACTTGACATGCATCAAGCTTCCCAATTACCACCCTCACGTCCACTCACATAACCCGGTACCATATTATACGTGTGTGTACTACTTGTAATTAGTAAGTAACCGTTAATGCTTACTCTTTTTCGACTAGCTGCCAGCTGTCCGCGAGTATGTGCAAAATCCCTTTTTCACCTTCCCATTCATCCATGTTTTTCTCCGACGACTTGTAACCAATAGGGAGTTCAAAGGCGCTTGCCTATATTTCCCTCAATAAACTGAAGCTGAAACGGAAACTGAATGTCAACGGACATCTAACTTTAATTTTTTATTCCTTGATGCTAGACCCTGCCTGGCCGGAACATGCCGCTAACTGGCTTCACCGCCGGACTAAACTGGAAGAGAGGCTCCGATGTTGTGTGTCCTCACATCCGGTAATTTGGTTCCTCTTCTCAGTGCTCATCCCCAACTTTTAAAATGTCCTACAGAAAGGGCAACGTGCAATCCTCTAGGTAACCCGGGCTAACTAGTGTCGCTCTCCACTTAACAAAGCCATGACCCATAGTGAATTTGGGCAGCCTTCTGGAGTGTCTCTGTAGTCCCTTTTAGAAAGGACACCACGTACCCCACTCATGCAAAGGGCTAGATAAGGCACCCTAAGCAAGTGCTGAAATCACGTAATCTGCACACAGATTGTGGTACGTAGATGCGAATAACCAGTGTACCACAACAACCCTCGTCACCCATTCTCACTGCTCACCCGCAGGCTGATAGAGTGACTCTGCATACTCTAACAGCCTTTGATGCTCGTTCCACCTCAGAAAAACTGCTAAGCAACCGATCGGAGAAGAGTGCGGCGCTAGTTGCTCGAGAACTGGTGCGCTATAACGTAAATATTCCTGTTCTCAACAATGGCCCAATCTCCGGAATGGCGTCAATGGTGGCCTCATAAGACGGCGCCTGTCTCTTCGAGATCTGGATTCGCCACAATTATCATCATAGACGCTCCCTTTATGATCAGTCCAAACATAGAACACGGCGTCAGACTTTCAGGGAGAAAGCACAGGGATCTGACACGATCTCAGTCAAACTTTAGAAATACGGCGACATCTGCGTATTACAGGAGGTGTAGTGGCAACGACAAGTCTCCTGGATTTCAAGGACGCGGCTACCGTTCATCTTTACAAACGGAAAAAACCGTTTAATCTGTTATAACCACATAGAAATCCGGCTGCTTAACATCGCCGGGAACATCCTCGTATCCATCTCAATCATCTCAACGGCCATCTGGATCATGGACTTCTCCCGGAAAGCAAGTGTGACTCCCGGCGACACCATGTAGCCACTGTGATGATCTTTGCCGCCCGTCAAATGCAGAAGAATTTCCAGGAAATGCAGACCCATCCCCATTCTATCTTCCTCGATCTGACGACGGGGTTCGACACGGTGAATTGCAATTGGCCCTATAAATGCAGAAATCCATTTGTACTAAGTAATCCACAAACATGTCAAGTCAGCTTTACCACGTAATAATGGGGTAAGTCACGAACGATGGGACAGTCTTAGAGGCATTCGCAGTGCTATGAGCAGGTTTGCATACCCGCTTCACACTTTTCAGCCTTACGTTCTCTGTCACGCCTACCGCGATAAGCGTCCTAGAATCAGCATCGTCTACAGAAGCGACAGCTGGTCTCTCACGCATGCACGCATGCACTCGGACTTCAACAAATACTGTTCGTGCACTCTTGTGCGCGGACAAATGTGAATGCAGTCCTGCGACAGAAGCAGTCAAGCACACGATCATGTACCTCTTCAGCTCCGATCGCGCCAACTGCAGGTCGGGAATCAACGCGAAGGAGCGGTTTTCGTGACCAAATCAGCAATCGGAGGGGGCGTTCACTTCATCCAGCATTAACGTTTACAGAATTTGACTCGCATTTGTGGACAAGTTCGCCTAACCAGACAGCACGATCATAAACGAAATCAAAATAGAGGACGAAATGGCAAATGGGCTCTCCAGGGCCAGGCAGGCTTTCGGTCCGATGCAAGTCCCCGTATGGAACAGCCACTAACTTTGATTCAACACAAACCCCAGAAAATTATGCGGCGGCAGTCCTGGTAGCACCACTAAACGAGGAGGAAACATGGACGGTTTACGTCAATCAGGCCAGGAAGCTGAACCAAGTCAACGTCCGTTGTCTCTGCAAAATAATATAGCTGTGGTAGAAAGACAGGATTCCAGACACGGAATGTCAAGAACGGACTGGAGCCCTCAGCATACACGCCATAAAGGGGCAACTGCAACTGATAATGTGGCCATCCCGTGAAAATAGACGACGGGCAGTTACCCGGACGACTGTTCTACGAAAAAGTCGCTTTGGGTGCTTGTCAACAACGAGGACAATGACGACGCCACAAAACCACCCTAATGAACTCTCCAAGCGCTTGTAGATCAAGCCAAAGACCTGAGATAACGTATCCTAGGGCCGAGCCGCCCGGAGAACAGCGGTGAAGACTGGAGCGGCTATCTACTAAGCCGATCGAATCGCCGCTGCCAAAGTCAAAAGAGCTACTTGCAAGTCTCAAGCCCTTGAACCCTTAACACTAGCACTCCACCACTTCCAACCTGCCGGCACTGCCAACGCATCATCCGCTCACGGATCAGACACATCGGACATCCCTGGACCCAATGCATTAACAACCCGTCGACTTCATTTTTAGTCTGCGCAGATGCCTCCATTCTCATCCCTGCCTTAACTTCCACGACGGCGACCGCCACAGCTATTGCCACCGGCAATCACACGCCTGACTTCTCGACGCAACGTTCGACATCGTCAGTCCTCACCACCTCTAACATCCCTGTCGCAATCCCACCGACGACGACTAACACCCATTCAGCCCCACCACCGATGTGCACCCTCCCATTGTCCCTCCACTGCCAACTACCTCCATCGTCACTGCCACGTCACCTGCGGCGGTGACAGCACTCTCCCACTCCCACCACCCAAGAAAACATTCCTGACGTCCCGTCAATCACCACACACACCATTAACGCTTCCACTCCCGAAAGTACGAACTCAATCTCAAACTTTCCTTATTATGATCACACATTCATAGCATGCATCGGCCTGACCGGCCAGTTACGAATTTACTGTACTGACGCCGGGGAATTGTGCCAGGAGTTGAGACGCACACTGTCCATACTTGCCCTAGTCTCCGCACTGCCCATGCAAATTTACTCACCACGTGTGTCTACTCGGCCAGGAGTGTATCCACGATAAGAAAATTCACCGCAGTGTCGACCTGCCGAACCCAGTTTGCATATCCGACAACTCTCCCACATCGAGCACCATAAACGTTCCCTCCACTGGCGTTGTCACCACCAGCGGCATTGCCACCAAAAACTACGCAGAGGTTACCAAATTGTGCCGTTTACACTACAACCGCACCTACAAATCCCACAGCAGTCTGGTCGGTCAGTAGACCACGGACGGGCGAGCCAGTGCATGGGGCACGGAAACATGACCATTGATACTGCTTCATTTTCCAGGCTGCCCCATGCAAAATCAGTCCCCGCACTGGCCTGGTCGACTATATGCACATCGTAAGAAATCTGTTACGGCAGACTAACCTATATCTCCACACATTTCCTTATCATACAAATAATACACATTAACACTTCCGACGTTACACACTACAGGCGCGGTCCAAGCACTTCTCACGTTAACGGTAATTGTTTCCCCAACTCCTTCTCTAAGTGGTCCCTGTGCTACTTTAGCGCATGTGAGATTGGAACACCCCATCCCACGGCGTGGAACTCTGGGAGGTCGTAGGAAACAGGTCGTGTGTGGCTCGCACACGAAACTGTCAAACATTGCACCTAACTTTAGCATCAGTCATTCTACCACCTCGGACAACCAACTGGTGGACGATGGAGGGAAGAGAGAGTGAGGTCGACTTTGGGAAATCCATCCACAGGGCACTTCAGAGCATTTCTCATTTTAATACACTAAGTTAAGGCGTCAAACGTCGTGTGTCGGGGGGCAGTCAACTGATGGGGAAACTCGGACCTCGCAGTTATCCTTCCATATATTTGTCAGGATCGGTCGAGTGATGGACTGAGAATCCTATCCAATTCCTCCTCCTTGACCATGTTTTTATGGCACTCTCAAGCATGTGAGATCCGAGCCGCCCATCCCTTTTTGTGAACGCCTAGTGTGTTTTGTGGGGGATCAGGTCGCTTTGGTGGTGTTCACAGGCAGACTACCTGATTTTACAAGCCACTGAACCAATTTCCGCAACAGATAACTGACCGTTTCGGGCAGTGGACTGGCGCGTAACTCATATTCTCCCACTGTAAACAATCTGACGCGCCTTTAAACTACCGCGGTAGGCAGAAGGCCGTGGCTAAGAAAGCTGAAAACTGATGGGATAATTCGACCTCCCAGGACGGAGAATCAGGCTGCAACGGCTCCTTCTTAATGTAATAACGATAAATAATAATAATAATTTTGATTTAAGATCCATGGGGATCAGTTCAAAGCAAGTAAGAATTACATGAATTTCAAAATTTTAGAACAGATAAGCGAATGTATACAATACTTAATTCATAGTTATTGAATAATTAGTATGTTACGAAAAATGATGAGCGCCGTTAATACAGTATATGGGTTGTAGCGGCACATCAGAGAGAATAAGTGCTCTGAGCGCTACAATTATCAAGGCAAATCCCAGATTAGAAGGAGAAGACAGAAGGCACCAGAATGAGGGGTTTATTGTGCACAGAACCCGGAGTTGTACTCTCAGGTGACAGTGGTTACTGGCGAAGCCAGGGCTGGTGCTGACTGCGTCCAGTCAGGCCTGAGAGTCCTTGAGATAGTGGTGGCAGCCGCTTTTGTAGGCTCGTGGGCCAAGCTTGAGTGGTGTCCAGTCAGTGTGTGCTGCATTTGCCGAGGGGTGGTGTCCCACTGGCTTGCTATGCTGGTTGCAGGGGTGGCACTTTCAAGTGGCGCATGCGTAACTGCGACGCTGTGTGGACGTAATTGTGTTCGAGCTGAAGTCGGTCGTGTGATTTCAGATTAGCTCGTCTGGGACGGCTCTCTGCAAGGGGTGGATGACCTTGAGGCAGCGTGGTCTTGAACAATGACGCCTGACGGGTCATGATGGCTGGCAGTTGCAGGTTAAAGACAGTAAATTGAGGAAACAAAGCATCTTTATCCTTGTTTCAAGCAAATATAACCAATGTTCATTGAATGTCCTTGACAAAAATGCCAAAAATGCAATTTGTAAAGACCGCTGTTCTTGGAAATATATGGAAAGTGCATACAGGTCCTCAGTTCTCTGTATTTCCACAGTCACTTCTCGACTAGTTAAGCCTCCAGCCCAAACCCTTATGTGTATCTTTAGACAACGTGTCTCACTTAGTCATCAGGCTCCTATAAAAACCGTGAACGATAAGCGATCCGCGAATCACTAGTAATGCTTCGACTTTTTCAGTAAATGGGCTTTGCAGCCACCAGGGAATTAGTTTGCGTTCGGTTTTTAGGTTGTGATGCCGACTGTTGGTCTGCGGAGTGCTCATTGTCGGTCATGCTACTGTAGTGGTCAATATTTTCTGTTTTCTGCCTCCCTTCACCCTTTAGCATTTACACCATATTGCTCCCATCCACACATACACATTTGGCCGGGTCTTCGGTTTTTATGTACATAAACATCTTAAAATGGCCTTACCACCCAAGCGTCTCAAATTCCTTAAACCCGGAGAAGAGAATCTCGCCTATACTGAAGAGGTGGACGAAATACCCGATGCTGTTGATTTAACTGCTCTGCCAACGGGTTACGATTTCGATCGTCATCGAGAGAACTTGCCCACTTTTCGTTGGCGGACACAATTCTTGTACTTGCTTGAGACATGCAGGTGAATATTTAGAGTTTTACTTGTTTTTGCTTGTAAGTTATAAGTCCGTAGATCTATTGTAGCTAAACTGCCGATGAAACTGTGACATCAGTTTTTGATAGGTATATGGTAATGCAGCATTTGCAGGTAGCCCTGCCAGCACCAGCCCCGCATAACCCTCTCAAAAATGACGGGGCTAGAGGAGGCTATGAAGGGACTGTGGCGGGGCATTCTACGCGACAGCCCCGCCTGGCCCCACATTTATGTCCACTTCTGGCACCCCTTTAAAATATCGACCTGTATGGTGAATCCCCTGAGGCGCACACACGTAATACCTACCGGCAGAAGTTTCAGAGCTCAGTATAGGCATTTCTCGTTCGGGGGATTGATTGCCAACTGCTGTCGACGTTAAGGGAACCTCAGACTCAGGCTCTTCAGTGGCCTCATAATATGCCTTCGTCTGGCGCTTAATGCTCCTGTATATGGTGATTCGGTGGTAGCCACAGTAATTACGCTTTCCAATTGCTTTAGATATTCAGTAAAAAACGATAAACAATTTGTATAACACCAAGGCTAAATGGTACATACATAGACATACAAGTGGACTACTTGAACTGGCTGGTGAGTTAATGCCAAAACAAGTAGCATAAGATACATAAATTAACTAAGGCAATTATCAAGAGCACGAAAACAGCATTGGTTGACGCACGATATTATCCGCGACCCGTGGGCGTAAAAAAATGCATTTTCCATGATTTATAAGCCACTTTTGATAAATTAGCTCCTTTTAATGCCAAAGAAAGTACAATGAGTGATGCTTTCAAACATAACTTTTGCTGCAAATATGCCTCGAAATGGCTCAGTCCAGAGGGGGCTCCGGCCCCACCCAGCCCCCTCCCAGTCCCACCTATGAAGGGGCCATGTGCTGGCAAGGAGGATTTCGCTAAGTTAAAATTTTGCATCTATCTTTTCATTACGGGAGGCAATTGTGTACAGCGCATTCCTCTGTTCTTCGTATCCTGCCACTAACCTTTGGGTGAATGCGGGTAGGTAATACCTCATGTTATCTGTTATCCACTTGGCGCTAGCAGGAAGATAGCGTAATCCGAGTAAGTCAACTGGTGTCCTGACCTAGCCACACTGGAGAATCCGCTCTGCCCTGCTAGGCTTGGGCATTGGCGGGATGTTCGGCTGACAATTAAAACCCGACTGGATATTGTTCGTCAGAAAATGGAGGTGGTTCTTGAGCCTTTTGTGTTCGGCCTTCGTCCCTCTGCAAGAAAACAGGTGCAGTTCCCCAAATCCCCTTTCGCTGCTTGTCGCCCATGGAGGAGTGCCACTGAAGGCACCACTGAGGCTGTCCAAATTAGACATAATTAAATCCATATTAAGTACACGTATAGTGATAACAATAATACGATGCACGTATTATTTTTGGAATAGGTGGCCGGAAGTCTACGCACCGAAAACGCCAAAATCTAGCTGTCTTCCTCCACAGGTGTTCGTGATACTTTAAGACTGATTTAGTTTGGCCAAGTGTGCGGCGAAAGTATTTCGGCCCATATTGTTCAGTATACCTTATTCTTTCTATCTCACCCGAACAACGAACTTTCATAAACCTTAAATGCCCCTTCGTACATTTTTCAGACCTGAAGCTTGTCTTCGATGTTGAGTCTTTTGATTTTGAGAAGAAAAGTGGCCAAGCGATGGATAGGTCCTGACATAATGCAAGATCGATCATTTACCTGAAATGCGGAAATTACATCCTGTGAGGCGGAAAGCCTCACATGTTCCCCATATGTTTCGTCAGACGTAGCACCTAACGTAGACGAGTAGTATACGACAGTTCGACCGTCGTCTCCGACGATGTCGGCCGTGTGCCCCATAACAGGGTGGACGCAGAGGCGGTGACTTAAGCGTGAATTAGTTTGTAGTGGTAGTAGACTTTCGTAGTATCTGGCGCGATCCCCCCTTCACCCACATAGGCCCGGTGTCCTGCCGGAGTCAAGAAGACGGAAGGCGGGATCGGGCGGTGGCTGACGCCCCACGAGCCCGCGCATAGGCGTGCAACCACACCTCCCCTCATGTGACATTTGTTATGGGTGCGCTTACTCGATAACGCCAACCACGCTCTGATCTGGTTTCTGTGTTTTTCTAGCACATCTGCCGTATGGCCTGCTGTAGGGCACAAGACGAGTAGCACAGTTATATAATGTCTACAGTTCTAATTTGTCCATCATCGGTATACACTACTCTGGCCCTCCCTATCCCGAGTGTCCTACTGAATTTTGTATTGGGGGGTCAAAGGCATATTCATGGGACCAGATGGCGTCAGAGGCAATGTTAACAATTATTTTCTAATATATGGCGAGTCACTCAAGCCTAATCAGCGTTTTTTCACTTGTAGGGTAGTAGTAGTGACCGGAGAGACGGGCAGCGGAAAGTCCACCCAACTCCCACAGTACGTCTACGAGGCTGGTTGGCTAGCCGATCGTCACGCCGATGGCCCCTACATTGCAGTCACCCAGCCTCGCCGTGTGGCTGCGCTCACTTTAGCCGCACGTGTCGCTGAGGAAAAAAACTGGCGCTTGGGGCAGGAGGTTGGGTACCTGATCCGCTTCGAGGTCAGCGTTTTTTACACTTTTCTTCATGTCTCCCTCCCGCATTCCTCCCATTTACTCGCGTTTCAGCATCCAATCTTAGACTATGTGTGGGAGTGCTGTCCGTCACCATGGTTAGTACGCAGCTACCAGCTAAACCTAAATATATAGCAGGGACTTCAATGGACCATATAGTGAAACAAATGTTAAGTCAGGATTGTACCCATATGCACTCCTTAATCCACGCACAAGGGTATGATGACATTTGGTTCGAAGGCTTCACAGCTATCTAGATGGATTATTATCCAAAAATCTCCGCATAGAGAGAGAGGACCACGTTCCACTGTGAAAGAATCATTCGAGATTATTGGCAAAAGGGGCTCCATTCACTGTGACCAGAAGATGAATTAAGTAGTTACGCAAGCGTCAAGAGGTTCACATGAAAGTTAAACATCTTATGTGGGACAGTTCAAGGCTTTGTATTCCTATCTCTTCAAATATAAGATATCGCACCAGAAATGGAAGTAGGAAATGCTGATATGTCGGTGTACGACAAGAGATTTGTCAGAAGCCTCGGCGCATGGGGCTAAAAGATTTCGCAGCAATTGGACCAGAGTAAGGGGGGATGAACAACATCATGCAGAATTCGACGGGCGAATTGCATGACCGCTGTCATATCAACTAAAACGACATAAGAAACACAAGCAGAAGAAAAGAGCTTTCATGGGGCACGTTTTAAAGTCGGAATATTTTCCTAAAGCAAAGCAAGAAATAAAAAACGAGAACAATAAAGAATGGGATGGAGAATGCAGGCACCCGTGAATCACCAGATTAGGGGTTGAGGTGCGTCGTGGGAGCGTAGACGACGAATATAATAAAGAAGACTATGAATAATAGTGAAAAATGGTTTAAATATGAAGGGAGAATGAAAGACCTGATGTCAGGATAACACCAAGGTGCCGCAAAGAGGATGCCACACTGGAAAGATTGTCCAAGGATGCCGGACTGGGAGGATCGCAGTCGGAAAACACACTGGACTCGTTTCTGCTTATTCACTAAAAGACCATTTTTCATCGACCATGCTGAGACGTGGTCCAAGCCATCCTTCAGAAACTGGAGATGTGCCTGATTTTTAAGAGGATGACCAACAGTCGTACCTTCCGCATACTCAGCATACAGACAGTCATTTGGCGATCTCAAATCATCAGCGTTGAGGGAGAAGAGTTATGAGGAAAATATGGAACTTTGAAGAACTCCACAGTCATTTCGGATTGGAAGAATTGAATGTGGGAAGTAAAATAATTACCAAGCCAAGAGACAACCCAACCAGGATTGCCGCACACGAATGTTTTGATGGAGAGGAGATGATGCAGGACAATGTTGGAGGCGGTGGAGTAGTCAAGAAATGCAGATTCCAAGAGTTCTTTGTACAGAAATAAATAAATTTATTTAATTCCATGAGACAAAGAGATGATAACATAGGCCTAGTACCCTGTCGTCTTCTGAGGTGAGTTTCTTTTTACCGTCTGTCAATATTTTAATGATTTGTCTCGCGCTGATGGGTTGTTGTCTCTGGGGTTGTCCGTCCGAGGTCCGCTACAGTAGGGTTAACTGCCGTCTTTGTGACAATTTCTCTGTTCTCCGTGACGGGAAGACGTCTGGGTGTCAGCGGTCGCTGCCCTCATTCGCATCATCCGTACTTACTGGTCCGGTCTCTTACACCACGTTGGCACTAGTGTGATCGCTGGTTACTGTGCTGTTGCCGACAACTTTATTTAAACCTTGTACAAAAACTCACTATACCGTCCTGCGAACCTCTTATTCTCTTGTGTGGTGGTTTTAACTGTGTGAACCTACGTCCCCTTACACTTTTATTCCTTGACAATCTTGTTTCCTCAATACTCACACTAACGCCCCTCTTTATCACATTTTGGACAATCACACAAACCGTATTCTTGTTAAAAACGGAGCTCCGTTGTCAGGGTCAGATCATTTTGAGTTAGTAGGCCTTCCAAAACCTACTTTATTTCTAAGCAACCGGTGTTGACCAACCCCAAGAGGACAATTAAGCTTAACGGCGCGTCCCTACAAAGAGTTTGCTGAGGCGCTCTAACTATGTTAGGTTTTAATGGAAATTGGCGATATTTGCTGTCAGCTCGGTACCGTTATGGGAAGACCTGACAGAATGTCTTTTCCCTGTCTAATTTGTTAAAGACGTAAAAAGGAACTCCTCCACAAACTAGGCCTAGGTGACTGTCTAAAGGACCTTACCGTCTCCCACAAATGCTCTCTTCTGCCGCTTGTGTTTCTTGTGTCGTTTTAGTTGATATGCCTATTCAACGACATTTCACAATGGTCAGGCATTTCATTCATCGACTTCTGGATGACGTTGTCCACCCCCTCGCTCTGATCTAATTTCAGCGAAATATTTCCGCCCCATGCGCCGAGGCCTCTGGCATATTTCTTGCCGTCCATCGGCATATCAGCGATATCTTATGTTTAAAGAGACAGAAATACAAAAACTGAGACTTGAACTGTCCCACTTAAGATGTTTACTTTTCATGTGAGGCGCTTGACTCTTCCGTAACTACTTGATTCATTGTCTGGTCACAGTGGATGGAGCCCTTTTGCTGAAAAATTTAAATGGTACTTTCAAAATATTGCGAATTCATCTCTCTTTGTCCCTCTTTCTCTGGCCCGCGGTCCCAGTCATCTACGCTCAGTCCTAGTATGGTCTCTCTGCTTCACACCCTCCTTGTGTTATCGTTCATTCAGATTCAGTACTTTACGCGTTTGTGCCTGCCATATTCACGTTCAGCGTGAGTTTCTTTATTGGTGTGTCCTGTCTGGATTCCCGCTGGCTGTTCCGTTGATTGACCTGCACTCGTAGGGCGGGGTAGACAGCAGAGAGTGCAACACAGCAGTTGATGGATGTTTCTGAGGCGCCTAGTCCCGAGTCTTTTCATGGTAGCCCACTTGTTCCCTCCTCACATGGGCTTGAGTCACGAACGACGAAGAACTGTGGGTAGTAATTTTCCACTAACAGCGAGGACTGGTATATCCGTTTACTGCCCTTGCATATTCACTCATGCGGGTCTGAAGTAACCCTCTGTCTTTAGCGAAGCTCATCTTACAGGAGCTGTATCATGCAATATTTTCCGTTTAGCTCTGTGCTAAGTGGGACTTTAGGTCCCCAGACGTGGCGTCGTATCGTTGTTTCGGGTCTCTGGACTATATTTGCTTCATAAACTCGCCATCCCTTTTTTTCGTCCTCGGGGGATGATGAACGCGATACTTATGGTCTCATATACACAAAAGAAGACGGTAGGACAATCTCTGAGACCATTACTTTGTTCATTCGACGTCCCGACCTTTCATACTAGCCAATCATCAAGGAATAAAAGACTGTAGAACTCATCGCATACTTAGCCCACCTCTGCCGAGAATGATCTCCAGCTGCGCTATCGAATTTTTCACTCAGCGCATGATCATCGGCTGGCAGAGGAAAATGTCGATTAGCCGAGTCCTCGATCGAGTGCCACACTTTTTGCAGCAGGTGCAAATTGCAGTGTGCTGACTGACTCAGGATTTTCGCGCACTCAAAGATGGTGGATCAGTGAAACTATAGATCGCCAGATAGGGATTGGAACTTGTTGCTGTACGATGAGTGAGAAGGCACTCAGGCCTTTGTAGTAGGAGTCCAGTTCGACATGACGGTTGACACTGTCTGTGTTAATGTATCAAGCCTCGATAAATTCACACGGCTGTTTTTGTTGACCATAGCGACTTCATCAATATCGTCCCGTTTGGAGGGTGGTCATATTCGGGGGCCTGCAAAAAAACGACCCACAAGGGGTCATGATGACAAATGGTCAGTTTGTGCCCCATAGCGCTAGTCCACTGACATTGACTAATGTTGTCACTGTAAAGGTGGAAGTAATCAGTGCAGTGAGGCTTGGTACCAGTACGACCGCAAGACTAAGACTTCCGCAGCACCCTCGCGGAGTTCTTCAGTATCTGCGTCTGAATCTGGTAGGCCTGTGTTATTCCATTAGTCTTCATGAAGTTGACAACTCTCCGGATTTTGGGCAAAGTCCTGCAGCCTTCGAGGTATTTGAGGCCGATGTGCTCGGAACTCGCACCTCCTCTTCCACACCCAATGGCAATTCCCCCTCTCAACTACCTGACACCCCGATCTGTGAATGTATGCACCAGAATTGCCTCGTATTCACTTTGACTGCACTCCTGCGATCCACCGAGTCATATTTTCGAAGCGTAGGTCGACCGAAAAATTTTCTGACAGCGGGTGAACTCAAAATATCCCCCAATTTTACGCTATACGTACGCTATTTTCCAGCATCGTTTCGGTAGCTTAACTAAACACATCTTCTAATCCGCTGTTTGGGACCTTGATTTTTTGCCAGTATTCTGCGCAACTTCCGGATGTAGCTGTAAATGACGTCCCTAGTCTTAGTGATCGCGTTTTGGGTAATTTTATGACAGGTCGTTAGCTGCCTGCATACCTAGCCCACTTTAACTCAGCTTCTCTGGAACCGACTTCTGTAACTGTGATTGACAGTTCGATCGTCGTTATCGACGATGTTTACCGCGTACCCCACAGCAAGATGAGTGTAAGGACGGTGACTTTCCTATGAACTACTTTTTTTTTAGTAAAAATAGACTTGCGCTTTATCTACGGCACTCTCTCCTCCCCCACCCGCGCCTGGTGTCGTGAAGGCCGGAGGCGGAATCAGGCGTAGCGTAGCGTGAGTCTCCTTTTAACCGTGCGACCGCACCCCCATGTATGGGAAAACAGCCTAATAACGCCTGCTGGACCCTGATCTGACCCCCATATTAGTCCGGCGCAACCCCCATGTGAACCGTTTTAAGGGGCAATTAACCGCAATTAAGAACTGATGGATCAGTAAATGCATACTAACCCATTTGCGTTTCGTTTTGATATATCCGCATTTCGTGCATCGTCGGCAATGTCAGATTCCGTGAAGTGTCCCTTAAATTCCCGAGCTGGTCACAGACTGGCCCTCCAGTCGGCTTGTTATTATTAAAAGGTACTAAAGAAATGTAATCATGTTTCAACTACAGGATTGTTTCAAACCTGGGAAGACATCTATTATCTACATGACAGATGGCATGCTGATTCAGGAAATGACGCGTGATCCCCTCCTCCGTCGCTACCGGATTATCATGCTGGATGAAGTGCACGAGCGGTCTATCCAGGTGGACTTACTGATGGGTTTGGTCAAGAAGATACTTAGGAAACGACCGAACGATCTACGAGTTATTGTCTCCTCCGCCACTCTCGAGGCTCAAACGTGAGTTTGCCAGTAGCGAATATCGTGTCAGCAGGATGATTTTTGCCTGTTTCATTTTATCGGCGAGCAAAGTTTCCACCCACCTTAAGCGAATCTATTACTTTTCTTGTCTTCCAGGTTCATCGAATACTTTCAGGATTTAAATATAAAGGAAGGGGAGGACGGGCACGATGGAACTTTGAATCCTGTCGCCCACCTCCACGTCGAAGGTCGCCAGTACCCGGTTAACATATACTATCTTCAGGACCCTACACCTTGCTACATCCACGAATCCAAGGAGACTGTCTTCAAGCTTCATGAAGATCGTCCACTTGGAGCAGATATTCTCGTTTTCTTGACAAGTACGATTTTTTGCTTGTGACGGCTTTCCTTTATACAGGAGAGCCCCATTTAAACTAGTTAGGCTGGCATTAAAGGACGCTGGTCCTCTCTTACAGTTCTGTGACACTTGTGAATATACACTGCGGACCGCTATTGGTTTATCCGCTTATGAGTAATTCGCAGCTTACGTTGGTCTTAACTGATTTACGCAGTTTCACTAAAATTTCATGAATCTGTCTTTGTCCACTCAACGAGCATCCAGTTCCCTGCCAGGTATGCTGGGGGGGCACTAGCCAAACTTCTTCCTGTCACGTTCTATTCTTTTGTCTGTTCGTTTTCTTTCCCGTTCTAATCTTTGCAACCGGCTTTGCAGGTCAGGACGAGGTTACCACACTGGTGCGCGACATAATTGATGAGTATCGCGCACGAAAGGAGCAGTTCCTACGCACACACCCCAGCAAGCCCGGAACGAACTCCCCGCGCTATCCGCCACTGCGAGTCCTGCCCCTATACGGCGGCCTGCCGCAGCACGAGCAGTTGCGCGTCTTTGACCGACCCTCGCGTTCCTGTCGCAAGGTCGTGGTGGCCACTAACGTGGCCGAGGCCTCGGTAACTCTGCCGGGTATTGCCTACGTGGTGGACTGCGGCTATGCCCGCCTGCGCTCCTACAATGCCAATATCGGCCTCGAAGCCCTGGTTGTTGTGCCGGTCTCCAAGGCATCAGCCAATCAGCGAGCCGGCAGGGCCGGTCGCGTCCGCATGGGAGAGGTGCCTTTTTATTTTTGATATTTATGTGCCATCTGATGTCCAACCGATTTCCCGCGGCTGTAGAATAGGGCATTTCCACGTTAACCGCACTTTTGTCCCGTCACAAGGGCGAACATAAAATATAAGACGGACAGACTCAATGCACCCAATCCTTAGCACTTTTTCAGCAAGTCGGTTATTGGCCATTATTGTAACTCTTGAAACTGGCCTTTGGTCTTGTGAAAATAGCTATACTGGCTCCGGCTAACGCTCACTTGCAACACTCGAAGAAACACCTGCTGACCTGGTATCTAACTGGTCAGGGCGTCACTCGCTAATATCGACCGGTGTCTGGTAGATGAAACCATATTGGAAACCCCACTAAATGCTAAAACAGTCTGGCGTGTCCCAGTATGTACGTCAAAACGCCGATTGATTTGTCTCGTTGAAGTAAATTAGTGAGAGCACGGACAAGAGTAATAAAATGAACTTTATTGTACTAGCCAAACCAACCATATAAACCTTCCACCGGTGACTGCATACTACCAAGTAATTGCAACCTGTTAAACTGCTAAATTGGAAACAAACTGACGACCGGCGGCACTGTTGGCGTTTTTGTTGCAAATGCGATGGTGGCGATAGTAATCAGACGTGTCAGCATCCAAAAACTGGACATTCACAAGTTTTTCTCAGCGAAACGATCCACCACACGCCCTGTGACAGCCAACTAGCCTGGATAGATGGAGAATGAACCCAGCCAAAAAGACTAATATTAGGGCTTCGGGCGCCTACCTATGTGGGTCATAGCTGGTGAAGCGAAAAAATATAGGCACAGGCAAAAACCATTTAGCTAGTGGGTGGGACGCAGTGCTCATGAATCACTGGAAATTCAACACTAAGTACGGCGTCGGCAGAGGGTGCGACTAGTGAACACCAAGAGAAACCGCAATTACCAGGCCGTGTCTTTAACCCTTACCTTGAGCCAAGCTAGAATTCTCCGTCTCACGATTGCAATTAGAACCCCAGTCATTTCATAGAAGGAAAGATGGCTTCGTTGGCAAGAGCATTTTGTGGGACTGCGGGCTACCCCCATCTCTGGTTGCGTCTGGCTGGACCTCTTCCTTCAACTGCCCACATGTGACTGCTGTAACCAGTCTCCTGCCGATATTCTAGTGGTCATCCATCGTACCCGAGATAGAAAAGTGTAAAAGAGTTCCCAATTACGATATTTTGACAGTTATAGCTCATGGGAGCTATTCAACAGGACTGAAGTGGCGTCCTGTGCATTTTTTGGAATGAATAATATATTGGATCGCTACATCCTTGCACCGTCATCAAATTCGATCATGTGCGCCCCTGATTCCACTGCAGCGTCAGACACTGTCGTGAAAGACCCCGGAGGCTGATTGTACATCCCCAAAACTCCTGAATGTTCCAAAGGTCTATCGTCCGCCAACCCGAACAAGGTACAGGTGAAACTTAATTCGGTTGGTGATTCCAAGGAGCAGCACTTACACCTCTGTAAGAGAGGTAAGGCAGAATTCCGGAGAAGGAAGCACTGGTGACGCACAGTTTTGAAACGCGTCAACATTTAAGGAACCGTAGAACACCATACGCGAGATCGAAGGCCCTGCAGTTTGACTCCCTTGATCTTGGGTTGAGAAAGGCACTTGCCCTTCAACTCAGATAAAGCGTCAAGCACGAGGCGAGTACGTTACTATCATAGCTGGCCTCTAGCAAAGCTGTGTCCCATTACACGTCCTCTTTACGCGACCAAGGCTCTCATTGCCACAGCAGAGCACGAGACTCTGGTTTCAAGTCTTCACCACTTGGGTAACATTCTCCGACTTGGAAAATCCTCTGAGGCAATTAAAACTGTCCTCGGGTGCATTATTGTTAAATTTCAGTACCTTGACTGAACGCGACAGAGACTAACATACTACTTAGATTCTCCCTGCCGCAGAAAAGGTGGCCCTAGGTTCTCGACCGTTTCATCTGGCTATCGGCCAACACTGGAAGGGAGTAATGCATCGCATACAGCCTTTCTACAGCACGCCTTATACAACAAGGAGGTGTGTGTGTAGCGACACTCGTTAACTTTGAGAGCACCCCGTTATGACACCCACAGAACAAAACCCTCTACTGACTCTGTCTGCCTTACGATAGGTCTATCGACTATACACCGAGGAGGCCTACGAGAACCTCCTACCACGTTTCACTGCGCCTGAGAGCCAACGCTCTGATCTCTCGGCCGCCCTTCTGCGTCTCAAATCCCTCGGGGTGGACAAACTGGCCTCCTTTGACTGGCTACCCCCCAAACCACCGATTCGCAATTTGGGCCAGGCGGCTGAACGTCTGGTCATTCTGGGCGCACTGGAACTGGACACGGGACGACTCTCCGTTCCACGAGGTAGCCAGCTTGCCGGCCTCTGTGCTGCCTGTGGCATCAGCGACCCCTCTGCCGCGGCTGCCCTCCTGGGTGCTGTGGAAGAGGGCTGTACCATAGAGATGGCCTCCATCGTGGCCCTCATGCAGGCACGATATTACTGTTATTACTATTATTATTAATATCGTTATCTTTATTCTTATTGGTACGGGCGGCAATAGCAATAGTTGTTTTCGTGGGAGCAGTAGTGGTAGCCTTAGTATCAACCATAATACTACTAGTTACAATACAGTATTGGCAACCGTAATACTCACACTTGCATTAATAGCAGCACTTGTAGTATAAATGCTGCCGAAGTATATGTACTGGAGTGATAAATCTGCTTTTAATTCTCTTGTTTACCGCTGTTACCGGCATGGATGACATCATAGCTCATCACATTAACAGCATGTACGAAGTCGCTCAGAAAGGCCATTTCTTCAACAATCGTTCAGTCATTTGTAGTGTTTTTCCGTCTTGGTCAAGTTTATTGGCAAAAGTAGAAATTATCCTGCCAGGATAGTGACCATGCCTGGCGTACCGCAATCCCAGGGCTTGGTTCCATTCAAGGTACCGAAACAGGCAGCAGCAAGAGGTGCTGATGACGGTCTGAGCCCCGATGTGTTGCCGACCTTGGGTCTGCGCGCACTTCTCAGAAAGGATAGTGCTAGGGATAGTCACAGGCAGCCTGATGATTTAACTGGATGACTTCCATGTCTACGAACGTCTGTGGTGGGCTGTCATGAGAGGTGAATGCACAAAAACGGTGATGGCGCTGTTCCTGCTGTGGTGGGTGTGCCAGGGGATGGAGGCGTATGTGCGCCTACGGAGAGTCCAGGTGCGCTTTACGCTGACAGCTAGTTAAGCTAACCCGCGGTAAAACCATCTACTTTATCACCAACCTGTGAGGACTCAGCCTACCATGAGGGTTGTTTCGCACCTGGCCAGCGAACTGGAGTCCGTACCCGATGACGCCGACAGTTGAATACTCCCTGCCTATATCGGTCAAGCAACGCCTACATCTACTATTTGTTCTTTACTACCCTTCCATATGTTAGGAGCTTGCTCACTCACCCACCCGCCAATAACCATTCCTAGCTGCAAAACGTCTTCGTTTCGAGTGCTGCCTACAAGAAAACGGCCGACCGCAGCAAACGTCGCTTATTCGGTTGCCTCCAGGGTGACCATATCACGGAACTGAACGCACTGACAGCCTATGAACGAGAATCTGCCAAACGCACGACTGGCGGTGGCGGCGGCGAGGAGAGTCTCAAACGCTGGTGCAAAGAGGTGGGTCTTAATGGTCGAGGACTGGCACGAGCCGTCTACATCCGTGACAAGATTGCCAACATCTTCAAGCGACAGAAACTGCCCTGGGTGGCTGCAGAACCGGCAGGCAATGCAGAACCCGTTATTCGAGCTCTTCTGCGTGGCTACTTCACCCAGGTAAGACTCCTTCAATATGCATTCTCTGTCTCTCTCTCCCCACATACAACTTGCACAGCACCTCCCTGACCCATTTGCCTATTTTGTTTAATAAATACACATTTAAATCCTTCACTTCCACCCAATACTCGTCTATAGTCCTCGTTAGGGAATAATATAGGAGCAGAATGATTTTATCCCCTCCACTATCACCACCGTCATCACCCCAACACAGCCCTTATGTCCCACAATGTCTCATTGAGACGCCCGAGACTTAGGCCTCGGAGCAAAAAACGAGGCAACTTTATTTATGTGTCATGTTGTGTTCTTTTGATAGGGAAGGAAACAAAAATGTCACATAGTCAGTAAAACGTCTCAGTTTTTCCTCCCTTTTCATTAAAAATTTGAATGGGATGTTAAAAAATCTGGAAATTCTACCGAATCGTCATTGAATGTAATGAAAATATACTTGAGTGGTGGGGAATCTTGATGCAAAAGTGGCACGAAATAATTAGGCCATATTGCCTTTCCATCTGCCTTCATAAACATGCAATCCCCTTCGGAAATAACGTTTTCCAGCTGCCAACCTGTTGTGGTTTCGTTTCTGAGTGTTTGCCTGTCTGTTCGGGCTCTATATTTGATTTATCTTACGACATGTACCGAATGGTGTGCTATGTAGGTCCACTTCACGACTGGACGCACTTTCATTCATTGCCTGTCTTCTCTTCTGTCTATCGACCCTATCGCACAAATGCCACCACCGCCATATGATCACTTAGTCTCACTTGACAGGTGGCCTTTACGACCGACTCTGCACATACACGTCACATACTAGACCGACTTCGTCCGGGCTCTTGAAAGATACAAACTAAGCATAGCGTGAAGCATTATATCTGTTAGAAACAAAACACCAAGTTGATCTGCACCTATCTTGCTGTTGGCGACCTGCCTGGCTATTACGCCCATATAATCGTTGGAGCGGACGTGAATTTAAATGTCCGCCCACTATCGTATGATATTTCTGTGTATTCAGCCTCATTTTCCCCTTATGCCCTATAGGTGGCGCTTCTCGCACCCTCCCGGACACACTATTTGACTGTGCGTGGTGACCACGCTCTTCGGTTGCATCCCAACTGCGTGCTTTATGCAGCCAATGCTCGTTGGCCTGCATGGATCCTCTTCACTCGCGTGTACTTGTCTGCCTCACTCGATCCTAATTCATCTGATCTTCGCGGAACCGGTGTCACCGCCGCATCTGACTCTCAAACGGCAACGTGCGTGTCTGGCGTGAGTGCAATTAAGTCCGAGTGGCTACTCGAACTAGCACCGCACTACTTCCAATTCGGAACTGACCGCGAACACGTTCGGTTTATGATTCAGTCTGTGCAAAAGCGGACCTAATGCTGACGTTCTTCCCTTGATATGTACAGTTTTAAATATATTTTCTACCAGCCACACGTACAACCAGATACTGCATAAATAGATGCTGTATTTTCGACTATTTTGGCAGTTTCCGGCTATCAGTGGTTCCGTGCTCATCTACCACCTGGCTCGTTTGGGGGCGGGGGGAGTTGGTTTATCATAATAATAGTAATAGTAGCAGTAGTAGTAATAGTAGTAGTAAAACTGCACAGCATCTATCGCACTCTCCCCCTCACAACCTGGGCACGTCAAGACGGAGTCAAAAAGCCTGGAGGCGGGGGAGAGTGCAGGTGGATGGCGAGGTCGGGTCCGCACCTTGGCGTTCCACTCCACACCCCCTGAGCCACACAGCAAATGACCAGTATTTTAACGAACAACAAAAATGGAGGGGCGGCAGGGGTTCGTGTCCGCGGCGTATGCCTACAGCCGGGTGTGCCAATGATCCTCGAAACGTCTGCATCTGTTTTGGTGCACAATCCGATAACGCCTGCCAGAATCTGTTTGGTCCCCTTGTTTGTCCAGCGCATCTACCACGTGGCCCGTTTGGGTTTAAATTGCTGAGTGGAACTTAATCAGTGGTTCCGCTCTTTCCAGGTTATCAGTTTACGTAGGAAGATTTTAATTAAAGACCGCACAGACTATGTCGTTCGAGAGTCAATACAGCCAGTCCAAAGGGACGATGTGCTCCGCTCATCAATTTATGACACATATCCCACTCACATTGCCAACTTCGATTTTTGCAATTAGTTGGGTAGTTGATGACCGGGTACCTTGTTCTGTAGTATTCTGACAGTTTGGGTTACCCGCGCAGGTGGTGGGTGCTAACAGTTCGCTGGTCGTCATTATTTTAATGCATCAGTATTATCACACCCCTTCCCTGTGTATCTTTAGGCAACAAGCAGCCTGCATCTTTTTTTCAAACAATTTACCTTCTAGATGTTTATTTGCAGAAAAATGAAACAAGTGAAAATGCGGCGGTAGCAGATTTATTAAGTCAAGCGCTTTGAACCTTTATAGGCTTTGTCTGAGACAAATGGATGTAACAAAATTATAAAACTCTACTAAGAAAGGGAAAACGATTGTCCCGGCGGAAATAAAGTACAGGCGGAAAATCGTCCACTTCCGAACTATGAAAAGTGCGGTGGCCACGGTACCACTGAAATGTGCGACAATCGCTAAGGGGATGAGCCAAATAGGGACTTACAGAAGAAATTAACTGTCTTCATAAACATTGTGACGCCACAAACAAAACTTAGGGTTTCAAGTGCCAAGAGCCCAATTGAGACTGATAACAGGACGGTTAATCTGAAAGTGTGTTATAAAATTAGTTATTACGAGTAGCGCACTTGCTCATAATCTGTCCTTTTAAAGTAGGGTCCCAAATTTGTCACGACAAAGAACTCCTTAAGGGTCATTATGGAAAAAAGAACAAACCCGATCAATAGCCATCGATACGAACAACACAAATTGCGATAGACTGACGAGAAATCGAGTGGGTATAAGTGATCTAAATCGCATTGCACTTCAAGTTTGGCTTCCAATGAGTCCCTCGGAGAATTTTCCACATCAATATTTCTTTGTATTTATGTGAGCCGCTCGCGAAGAAGAGGTGATATCACCTTCAGTGCACCAAAGAGGACGTATACAGTCAACGAAACAGTAGGCACCTTTGAGGTGCAGATGAAGAATAAAGACCTTTTTGCAAGTATTATAGTGAGAACATAACATAAAACACCATAAAGCCTATAGGGAAGGACCAGGCTAAAATTTTTAATTGCGAATACGGAATTTTTAGTCTAAAATGCAAGTGGTCGAGGTCCGCCGACCTTAGCTCACGTAAACCGGTTTTGTTTATTTACTTTTTGTTTACTTTGAAGGTCATGGGTGCACTTGAATAAATTTAAATTGCACATTGGGTAACCGAAAGGTCAGCTTTCCACCTAGGATATTTCTGAGTATGGTCAAAGAGCTCTAATTGGGAGTATCCTAGGCTAGGCAACGTCATTTACTTAAACTTATTTCAACAGTACAGTTGACAGTTCAATAATAAGGTGAAATGCATTCTCAGCTAGCTTATAGAGATGATCGTGATGAGCGATTTGGTGCAATTCCTGGAAGTTCACAATTTGTCATCGAACTGTCAACACGGGTTCCATAATAGAACATCTTGTGCGACAAACTTGCTGCATTCTCTCCAGAGTTGGACTCGAGCTGTCGACGACGGGCACACGGCCCACATGGCTTTCATTGATTTCCAGAAGGAGTTCGACACAGTGCCACATCAGAGACTGTGATATAACAAAAGAAGAGTGGGCGTTCACCGGGAGGGGTTTATTTGAGATCCGACGTTTCGGGTAGTTTACTCGTCTACCCATCTTCAGTGACTGAGAGGTCCTGTGCACAGCACTCCTTATTATGGCGCCCTTTGTCCAATGCGTGATCCGCCAATGCCGCCTGTGTGGCTGCATCCAACCCGCATGTCACCTGTGACCTGAATCGCCCCCGTCGGCCGCGGTGATGACTGACGGCCCCGATTGTCCCGCGCCGTGACTGTCCCCCATTAAGAAGGTTCGTAAAGTCAGATAAGGGGAGGCAAATTGATGCGGCGGTTGACAGAGCGGTCGGTGGACATCCAGGCTTCTTGCACTTGCCTTGCTGTGTGATCGCTGCCCCGGCCCACAATCTCAACGGCGTCAAAGTTGAAGATGTGTCCCATTTGCGCGGCATGGGTTGCTACCTCCGACTTTGGGTCCAACCTTCGCACGGCCAACTTATGCTTGTGCATTCGCGTTTGCAGCCGTCGGCCGGTTTCCCCAACGTAGTCGCAACTTCCGCAGCTGCACTGGAGTCGGTAGACAACGGCCGACACTCTTCTTTTGATATGCCACCTGGGAATCGGATTTTCACTACTATTACTGTGATATAAGATGCAAAAATTAGAGATCAGAGGTAACTTCCTCAGATAGATCTAAAACTTCCTTGTGGGTTGGTACCAGATTGTGTTCATTGGTCTATGAAAATCAGATCGTGCTGTGGTCGAGTATGGTGTTCCCCATGGTTCGGTGCTGGGACCCATTTTGTTCCTAATATATGCGGACAATTACGCAAGGGCTTTGGCCTGCGAGGTAGCAATGTTTGCTGACGACATGAAAATATGATGTGTAAACCAGGGCCCTGCCGACAAAGATAGACTGTAGATGAACTCAAAACGGTTGGGGAGAGGTCAACCCGTTGGCTCATATGGTACTATATCTCGCCTAGGCAACCCAGAAAGATCCACCAGCATAAGAGGCTACTTTTTCGACATTGCAGTTTTACGAGACATTGAAGCGCAGAAGAACCTCTCTGTGCTGACAACTAACTCCCTAAAACTATTAGCCCATTGTTCGACAGTGGCAAAATGCGCAATGTCCGTGTTGTATGCCATCAAACGAACATTTATGGATTTTGACACGAAAATGGTTAGGGATCAAAGTCCATTTCCTTCTACAACCCGCCAGACAAATTCGAGCTACTTCCTTTCGAGCTGTCGGCAACTGCGCAGGGATATCTTACAAGCACTCTGCACTGTTAAGGGATTGGACTGCAGCCTGTCCTGTGGGGACTTTTTTGAATTCGTTACCATGACCAACCTCCGATGTCAGCCGTTAAAACTCCACACTCAGCAGGCAAGGCTGGGTGTGGGAAAGTTCTCATTCTCTGCCAGAGTGGTTAAACCATGAAATGCTCTCCCCACGGACGATATGATGTCATCATCAATAGAAAGCTTTAAAAGGAACTTTAACGCATTTATGTTCGGAAATGAATAAGAGCAACGAGAGATCGAGGTAAACCCCTGAGACTCATCCTCAATTTGTCCTACTGTTTTGAGCCCATTTGAACCATTATAGCCCACATGGTTTCTCTATACACCGCGCCCAATTTTATGCTGCAAATCGGGTACTGAAAGGCTCACGCCTATTTCCCTCAGCAAACTGAAACGAAATGAAAGCGAAAGCCATATATGAATTCTTCCAGTCGGTATCCATTCACGAAGCGAATCCTCCTCCTCTTCTTTACCTCTCGGATACATCTATAAGGACAGAATTATTCCGTCCATAGCTTGCCAAATCGCTTGGCACAGGTATAATTTATCCAATTGTCTTTCGAAAATTGGCGTACGTTTTGTGCAAAACGATGTCCGTAACACTCCAGAAGACCAGAGAAGAAGGCCAACTTTCGGAGAAATGGAAAACTGCCTCCGTCCCGCCGATCCATAAACGACGGTTCAGGCCGTAATTCGATGAGGAAAGTCACATTAGTTTAACCTGCGCTCTGTGCAGGGTCGTGGAACGAACTGTGAGGAGGCATTCAAGAACATATATAGAACAGAGAAGCTTGTTATGTGCTGCCCAGTACGGATTTCGTCGTGTTCAGCCATGTCCTACGCGTAGTCTTTATTTACTGGGAGAGGTTTTGTGAGGAATTCATACAATTTATTGCTGAGCGTAATTCCGGAATCGTAACAGATTCACTGCACTAGGTTCTATACTCGGCTTGAGTTCAATCTGCTTGGGAGTGACCATGAAGGAATCATTTTCTTTGCTGGGGATTGGGTTATGTGGGGTTAGTTCTTGCTCGTCTTCCTGTATCATTTGTTAAAGGCAAGGTTATGTGTGAATAACCCCAGACACCTCATTGATTAGTCAAAAATTACTTTTGAATACCATCATAAAGCAAGCATGTTTGCGCGTTGATATAAAGATCCTGCCCTTCCAGGCTATTTATGACTTCTCCATATAGTACCGCGTCGCTCTACATTCCAGGATGACCGTCATATAATACAGCACAGGCTCGAGGTAAAGATAATCTGTGATCTCACAAAGAACCTGTTAATGACAGCCTTGTCATCAAAATTAAGAGGGCATTTGAAATGTTCACTGGCACCAGCTGCGTTGAGGTGTCATTATTTGCCTACATGAAACTGTCTGGCGTTTGAT